AAAGAAATAATAATAAATAAAATACATAATATTTAGTAGCATGGATTTACCCATACAGAAACTGTATTTAAGTACCTGTTTCTGTATTGTGGTTCTAAAATAGCATATGCAGAAAGGTATGATAGTCTCCAAGTGGATGAATAAAATATCTTTGACTGAAGTGTATCTTCCAGAAAAAGCTGCTTCTCCAGATCCAAAAATACCAGGGAAACACCATTCACCTTGGTATTTTTGTCTTTTTTTTCTGACCTGAGTCACTTCACTGACTGTTTTATCATTGTTATTTCCCCTTTAATGCCGTTTGTCACTGAATCAAATAGTGCTCAGTCAAATAGTCATATGCCATTTCTGGTGTATATTCATCTGAAAAATGAAAGAAAGTTGGTTTGAAATACTCTGTTTTTGATTCGGCTACTGAGTGACATGCATTACGGTACTATTTATGATCATCTTAATCACTTTTTTTTCCCCTGACTTAGCCTAGCATTAGTCCCAAGTAAGCAGCTTTATTGTTACTGGTGTGAACTACTGCTTTCTTTAAATGATCTCATGTTACCTTTCTCCTAGCCTTTTGAAATATTTTGTGCAGTTAAGATTTATTAGATACAAAAGCACTGAGATAAGAAAATGCTCCTACTATCCTTCTATTACAGTTTTTGGATGCAAGGGAGCACGCTTGCAGCTTTAACAATACTGGTCCTTAACAGATGTTGTTGTAATATTCTCTTGGTTGCTAATGTAAGAGGAAGTGCTTCATCTTCACAACATAAAAGTACATGGCATTACAAAGTATAAAAAGGAGATAATCACCAACTACCTCTGCCACTTTTTTGATATATTTACCAACTCTGTGTAGTAATAAGTAGATACAATTGATAGAATTTTGTTTGTTCCTTATGAACTTCATCTTATTCCACAATTTTCAATTACTGTTATAGCCGCCCTCTATATTCTTTACTTGTTAATGTCTTCATTTCTGTTCATTTGAGTCTGCTCCTGTTTCACATATATTGCTGTCTTCTCTTTGCCACAGAATTAGGGCACACTTTTAACCAGATAGATTTGTGAGGCTTCAGTTAGCATATTTCCTACTATCACTACCACCATCCTGCTGCAACGATGGGATTCCCTGCAGTGCTTTCCCAGAAATTTAGCTTCTTTTTTCTCAGCTGTGTGTGTCAGGTGGAGGAAGGAAATCAGTGAAATATAGTGGAACTGTACTGCAGCCTGGATTGGGGGAGTTAAGAGGCCCAGGAAGGAAACAGGATTTAGGGACATCCTTCTCCCTTGCATGTTCTGCTGTGGCAGAAGTTGTTTCATGTTTTAGCATACACTGAAGAGCCTGACTGAACAAAGTACAATGCAAGTTTGATCCTTTAACACTGTGTGCAGTAAGATGCATGTAACTCTTGGGGTATAAAATCCTTGTGAGAGGTATTTTTGTTTTTTAGACGGCTACTGGAAGCTTCTCTATACATAGATGTAGCTTTATTCATGTACCCACATTACAGAAGTTTGAGGCCTCTTGTGTAGCTTGATTCAAAAGCAATTCATTCCATTCCTGCCTCTGTGGGAAATCCACAGGCAGCCTAGAAGAGTTTAATGGGTGTATCTGGAAAGATGACCTGTTTGTTAGGTTCACTGCTTTTGCATTTAAAATAGTAATCCATGAACACAGGGGGAAAGAATTCATGTGAACAGCACTGCATTCGTGAAATGAAAGTTCAGGCTCAGGAAGACCTCATGTACCATTTCTACAGTCATAGCAGAAGAATATCAAAGTTTGGATTCATAGGCAATAATTATTCTGTTCATTGGTGGAAGCAGCTCCTCTTGGTTTCAAAGTGAAATCATCAGAGTAATCTGCAGGAGCTGATGGTCTTTTTTCTTTAACTCCACTCTGAAGCTTGGCACCTGTTTTCTTCCACTGGTTTATGAAGTAGCCCAAGCTTTTGCCTTTTTCTGTTGTCCTTTTTGTCATGGTTCATATTTCACCTGAAGCCGGTAGGTCTGTCTTTCTGAGGAGAAAACACTCTCATGCATTTTTAATTTGTGTGCCAGCCACTGGCATTTTGCCTGTTGTTGGTAGTAGTGATAAAATTTGAATAGCCTGCATTACTTCTTTGGGGAGCACGACTGGAAATGCACAAGTGGTGCACTCTAACAGGACAGGAGGGAATCTGTGTGGTGCAGAGTTGCAGATTTTCCCTTCAGAGTATGTAAGTGAAGCTATTCTGCTCCTGCCTTTTTTTCTTCCCCCCCAAAAATATGCAAAGTAAAATAGGTTAGAACCTAAAACTTGAAATTATATGAGTTTATGTGGTCTTTTCACTCCACTTTTAAGGCCCAACTGAAATCACATAAAAGCTGATATATTTATTTTTCCATGGATTTACATATATTTGGATGAAGCCACTAGGCTGCCTCAGCACCTAGGTGAGATTAGATTATTTAGCATATTTATTAACATGGAAATGAATAATCTTGTCATCATTTGCTATACAACTCTAAGTGTTTAAACTGATGTAACCACAAGTTTTTTCCTGTATATACTTGAACTCTCATGACTATATCTTAATATTTATTTGGACAACCATCATCCCTGTTGCCAGGTTGCCTAAGATGACGCTGTTAGAATTTACTTATTCCTTTTGAAAATGTTTTTAGACAAGAAGTTCCAGATCTGGATGACTTCAGCGTTATTTTACAAGGCTCTGCTGTTACTGACCCAAACCCAGAATTACACAATACATCCTGGTATGATTCTGTAATGTGGACTACACAAGACCAGAAACAAAGGAAAATAGTTATTCATTTTGTAAAGCATGACGAAATGCTTCAACAGCCTGAAGATGCCTTGCTTATGATAGAAGGTAAGATAAATTGCGTATATACCTCTTGTCATGGCACAGGGTCCACTCTGTGTGTATCTACAAATTAGGATGTATTGAAGTTGTATTCAGTGTAAGTAGTGATGATCATGAAGGCATCTTCAAAAAACTAAAATCTCAACAGAAACCTTAAGTTACTGTTGTGCAAAACAGGAAAAAATAATCAGTGAAGGTCTTGTAAGGTGTTTTTGTCTGTTTTAAAGCTATACAAATAAGTTTAGTGTTGATTCTGCTAAAATTAACATCTAAATCTGTGTTTTTCTAGCTGTGCTTACTGCGTTTTCAGTTCTGTTTTGAAAACTTGTTGAGTGTTCTAAAAAAAACCAACAACTATTTTAGTCTTCATGTGGAAAAGTTTTTTGGAGGGCTTCTGATAGTACTAGGGTACAGTTGACTTTCTCAGCCTCTGGATGTCAGTGTTGTTTCAGATAAATAAAGCTTCTCCCAGAGTGAGGTTTGTTTGGGTTGTTTTTTATCAGATTTCCTGAAGGAAGAGAAATAGCCACTGAACTTTAAACAAAGCAATTTAGCAAGAATACTAATAAGGAATGTTTTGAATAGAATAAATTGCATATAGTACCATCCCAACTTTCAAACAAAGTATTCAGTTTTGCTCAAGTAGTATTGCATGTAAGCAAATGTGAGTCAGGTTGTCCTTTGTGTAAGGGACAATGACAAAATCCCTTCTGTTTTCTGCGTTGTTGTATATTCAGCTAGTTCAGATAGCTGCTTTAGTTGACATGTTCCAAACTGGATTTGTTTTCAATCTCACCTTATCTTTTTGAAAACAAAAGAAAATATAATTATATCTACTCTATTTTCCTAAAATAATTGAACAATCTAACTTGGCAAATCTACTTTCAGATATTAAAGTGCCAGCAGCTAAGTATGTGTGTATGTGGATATATGTGCTTCATGTTGGAGCACAAGGAAAAGGCATAATCAGTATTTTAGCATGTTTCCCCCAGAAAGTTGATCATGAACCTTGCTAAAGCTATGTGCTACTTTAATTTTCATCCGCAAGTTTTTGGAGATGGAGAGGTTGAAGTCTCCCTAGAAATCTCCCCATCACTTTTCCAGATAGAGACAACCCTCAAAGGCCAAACACGTTATAACACTTAGACGTGCTCTAGATTATGCTCATATATTAAACATGAGCAATTTGCTCTTCAGCAACACAATACTCTGCTTCCCCACAATCATTACGCTGAAGAAAGAACTTCTTTTTGAGTGTTTGGCACCTGTTGGGCTGGAATTGAGGAAGTAGTTGGATAATGCACAGAACTTTACGTGACCTTTCACAGTGAGGGGAATCCATAAATACTGCTGCAGCTTAGCTGAACTGAAGAGTGAAGTGGTATGGTTAACGAGTAGAATGCTCCTTGCATACCCTCATTATTTGTACAAGACATCACTGGGAAGCATATCACTGTCAACCCCTGGTAATTCTCTGTGGTTTAGGCTAGTCTCTTAGAAGCAAGAATACATTTGCTTGATACAAGTTCGTGTTACAGCAAAGCTAAAATTCTGGAGACCTTTTAGCAATGTCAGTTAAAAGTACCCCGAATTTTGTATGTTAATCCCTTGAACGAGAGTTCAAATGTGAGAGGCTTTATCTGTGTCATTGCACTTGGAGGACTTTTGTTTTCTAAACTCTTGGGAAGCCATTTCAAATACCTGTGCCTTTATTTTCTTTATTTTTTCTGCTAGAAGTCAAGTTCATTGAGCAGGTTTCCTGTTGTGCATTTTTTCATCACCAGTAATGCCATTTTATTGATTTTTATTGTCTTATCTAGTTACCTCTGCAATACAAGTAACAAATATATACAATAAATATTTAACAATCCGTTATCATAATCACTTATCATAAACTCTTTAAAACATCTTACAGTTAATGGTAAACAACACAGTTATAGAATACATTTACTTTAAAAGTTTGCTCACTTTCTTAAATTGTTGTTCACAAGCTCTTTTTTTTACTATTTCCAAATAACTGTTCTGTGTGCTAAATTAATAAATCTACATTTCTACTGAAGTGGTGAAATGTCAGAAAGATTCTGACATCAGTTCTGCAGTCCATACTGTGGAGACTGAAGGCATGTTATCCATGACTTATAGTGATGGATAACACTATAGAAAGAACTTTTTTCTGTCACTGGAATTGAAATTCTCAGGGTTCCAGCTGTAATATATTCAATTTCTGTGTTCCCAGCATGGCCCCAATTTAGTAGCACTCCAATTAGCATGACGTTCGGTAGCTCATGTCAGTTATGAGGTGGTTGAATGACTACTTTTTTGTCAACTGATAGTTAAAAATTAATGGAGTTTTGCCACTTAAAAGCTGAAAAAACAGTTACTTCAGAGCAATTGCAAAGTCAGTTCATTTCCCCTCTTTTCCCCCCTAAGAGAAGTGCTAGTAAAATCATAGGAGAAATTGTATGAAAGCGATGCCAACTAAACACAACTTTCATGGTTATGGTGATAACTATGCGGAAGATATTAAGGCATCTGCTCTGATAAATGCCTATCTTTGATTCTTTGAGTCTATGGACCATTTTTTCAATTTTCCGTAGTTTTTATTGAAAATCGTGAAATCAACATCTAATCAGCCATGAAATGTAAGTTGTTAGATTTATTCTTTATTGCAGTTTTTAAAAAGCATGGTTTTCTGTTTTTAATAGGTGGAACACTAAAAGAAGTTTTGAAGCTTACAAAAAGATTTAAATGTGTTATTCCTGTGAGATCCACAGAAGATGATCTTGAGTTATTAGATCTTTCAGCTCCTTTTCTTTTACAGGGGGACATAAAATATTATGGGTAGGTTAAAAGTATTTCTTGATATTTTAGTAGTTGTAGAAATATACAGATACCATTTTCTTTGGTAATTCAAACCTCAGTGCTCAAGGGATGACTTACCCAAAGTTTCTTTGATGCAAAATGGATAATGTGGTCAGGGATGAAATTCCACACTACTGCCTCCAATCAAAGGACTCAACTGCAGTTGGGCTTTATCTTTCTCTATAAATCTTATGCCATTAATTCCACAGCACCCCAGGTTCAGTCTTGCCTGTTGTATGTGGGTAGGGCAACCTGCCACAGAGACAGAAATGGACGTATGAGTCTCTTTAGGCTGCGAAATGCCTAAACTTTTCTCTTTTAGTCCATATCTCCCATTTTCTGGCCAGAAAAATACCATTTTCTGGTCTTACTCATTAAGAAAATAATTTCAGGCTGTCATTCATTACTCATTCTCTCTCTTATTCCTAGTATTGGGAAAGTTTGGGTTTTGGAAGAAATAAAGGAAGGTGTCCCTGCCCCCATGGCAGGGGAGTTGAAACTAGATGATCTTTTAAGGTCCCTTCCAACCCCAAACCATTCTGTGATTCTATGGTTTTGGACATCCTTTCCTCACCATTTGCCATTTACTGAGATCCACAACACTGCAAAGTGCCTTAGTCAGTCACAGTAGAGACAACTTCTGCAGGTTTCTGAATTCCACAGTCCCAAGGCTGTGGAATACAGTACACATACCTGGTATCAAAACCAGCAGTCTGCTTCGTACCAGTGGTTGAGTTCTCCCTCTCAGCAGTCCTAGTAAGTTCAAACAGAGTGCTGTGTTGCACTACTTCAGTCCTGTAGAGAGTAAAATACTTTCTGTGCAAAAATATTGCATGTTTCACATGAACCCTAAAGTATCCCATAAGGGCCTGACAAAATGAATACAGATAATTATTTCTCTTTGTCATATATTGTTTTGAGCTTTCCAGATATGGCTGTCCGCAGCTTTTTAAAAGAGAGGTAACGTATGGCTGTTCCTGCTGGAACTGGATCTTCACCAGTACAAAGTGTTTCCCCGTGCACTTTCATAATCCATGTATGTCCCCAGCTATGCACAACTCACTTTTAGACACTGGTCTCCGTTTCAATGGCTGTATTGTAAAAGCCAATGTTCTGTGAGATATTCCATGAGTGTTTATATTTAGGAAGGAACCTCACAGGGATGTTGACAATTCTCAGATTTGCTCTATGTGGTTTTTTTTTTATCAGTAGCATATACTTAAAGTGTAAAAAAGATTCTGCATATTAGAATGAAAAGCAAAGTTATTTTTGCTGTAGGAATGAGCTTGAATATCTCTATAAATACTTATATGCATGTGCATATACATGTATATTCATATATATATAAAATTACGAAACACACACACATGCATATAAAAAACAAAATTCGCAGCTTTATTGAAATTTGGGTGTTTTTTAAAAAAATAAAGTACCTTCATTGAGCTTGGCTTTATATCACTTGGGCAGAACTAGTGCTATTGATTATTAAGGCACATTTTGCACGTAATTCTATATGACTTATACATTTGTTACCTAAAGATAATAATGTTTTAAGTTCTAACTGTAATAGACTAACACAAAAGCTTAATTTGGAAATAACAGCTGTTCTGTAATTTTATTTCTTGAGGCCAGTGAGGACAACTTTGAAAACAGTTCTTCAATATTTTCATCCACTTGCAGCATTTGCTTACTATGTAACATGTAAAATTTATAATTACTGGTGTAAATACACCACTAAAAAATGAGATTGTTTTAGTAACTCAGTTAATCATAGGTAAAGCCAAATTTCTCCTCTAACCCTGTTGTGTTTTTAGACCATGCTAGAAGTTCAGATTCATTACTGCTTTTACAAAGTGAAGTGTTGTTTGTATTCCTAAACATCAAAGTAGTAACATGAATATATGTTTAGCAATGTAGTGATCTTAGAATCATGGAATGGTTTAGGCTGGAAGGGACCATAAAGACCATCTAGTTCCAACCCCCCTGCCATGGGCGGGGACACCTTCCACTACACCAGGTTGCTCAAAGCTCCATCAGACCCAACCTTGAACAATTCCAGTGACTGGGCATCCGTAACTTCTCTGGGCAACCCATTTCAGTGTTTCACCACCCTGTCTGTGAAGAATTTCTTCCTTTTGTATAATGTAAATTGCCCCTCTTTTATTTTTCAGTTTAAAACTGTTGTCCCTTGTCCCATGGGCCTTGGTAAAAAGTATCTCTCCATCCTCCAATATATAAATGCCCTTTACATATTGAAAGGCTTCCCGGAGCCGCCTTTTCTGCAGGCTGAACAACACCAACTTCCTCAGCCTTGATGTACAATTTTTCTCCTTTCTTTTCACTGAGGTGTTCTTTTCCAGACCAAAATTGCTTATTTCTTCTCGGGCATCATTCAAAAGCAGCATTAAGGGTTTTGATACGGTCTAAAGCTTGTCTGTCTGGTAAAATAGTTATTTTAAACGGCAATAGAAATACTTTTACACTCCCACTGAATAAGGAAGTCAATTTATTGGGGAGGTTTGTGCAGAAAGCTTCTAGTATAAATAAATCAGTGTTTGTTAATCTCAGTGTCTTGTTTTAAATGCTAGGTGCAAGCAGTGTTCAACGCCAAAGCCGATCAAGAGTCTAGGTTCTGTTGCAGCAGAGCAGCGACCATCGTGGGAGCCAGCTGAAATAGCAGAAGGTCAGCTGATATGATAGTATTCTGAAACACTTTTGTGCCTTGATTCTGAAGTGTTTATATCAAAGTTTGATTTCTGGGTTGCATTTTTGTACAGGAAGCAAGTCACTTGTGGTTATGCTTGGGTATAAAGGTGCAAAATCTATTCATCTCTTACCAATTAAAATAACATATTTACTTTTGAATCTATTACAGTACGAATTAGAGGATTTTATATGTTTCATAGTTTCTTCTAAAATAGGTGTCACTAGTAACACCTATCATAGTACAGATGTGATGAATTTTTGGTTGCAGATGTAATTTTTAAACTGTATATTCTTGCAGTCCTTTAAGTTAGTCTTGCTTTTTCCTTTTGAAGATACTCTGATCTGAACTAAAGAGGGTCTTATTTAATGACCGGTTCAAGTTAAGTTTTTGTCTTCTGTAAGCCTAAGCATATTCTAGAGATTCTGGAAGAAATACTATTCAAATGAAAGGAATTATACCATAGTATGGATGTGTGTTCATTGTGTTACTTTGTGACGTGTGTCAATATATTCAAATGCTAGAGATGAAATAGAGCTTAAAACTTCACGACACATCAAGGAAAGAGAGTATTATGTTCATAAATATATGCTCTAACTTACTACGTTGCAATATCTAGCAGTATCTAAGCTTGGCAAAGACTTTGTAGAAGAAAAAAGTATTCAAGCATGGCAGTCATTCTCTTAAATATACTGTCATAATTATATGCTATTAAATAAATGTAAAGTAATATATAACTGACAGTGTTACAGCACCTGCGATTGACATTTAATTCTCAAAATGAAAAAAATATTCATTAAATGCTTTCCGGTATATAATTTTTTTTTAAATCATCTGTGTTTCCAGAATAAATGATAACCTGCAAGTATATCAGATCAGTTGAACATAAAATGACTAGCCAGTTTAATAGATGCACCCAGAAAAGACTGATGCAGAGTTGCAGTAACTTGGTGTGTTTAAGATATTTTATGTTTGCAGCTTAACAGTTATTGCTGTCAGTGAGAGAATGACTTCAGTTATTTGCTTATGCTAGAATATTTTCAGAACTGCCAGCAAAGTTTTTCTGAATAAGCCTTGGCCTGCTAGCTTTTACTACATCATATGAAACAAAATGTTTTGCTCAGAAGATATGTTTTCAGGTGGAATGCTATGTTATTACCACTGAATTAAGAGCAAGTATCCTTAAATCTTCATGGATAAAAGAACAGGAGTAGGAGGATCCTACCAAGGAAATATTAGCATTAGATCTAAGCAAATATTAGCATTTCTTTTACTAGGATAAAAACAAGTACTTAAAATCTTCCTGCGTTTTTATAGGCTAATCTATGTTTCTAGGCAAATTGCAGTGAGGTTTCAAAATGCACTCCACATTTTGCTAGTCAGAGCCTTTATTTTTTGTCCTGTCCATTTATTCCTTTAAAGACAGTGTTCAAAGTCAGTTACTATTAAAGGAGGCATATCGTCAGCTTGAGTTGCTGTGGTTTATCTTGCATATTCACACTAAGAAACAGATCAATTCTTTTTTTTTTTTTTCCTTCAGCTTTAGGTATTCAGATTCTCCAGTATGTTTTTATTATGAGGTTTACACTGGTTGATGGAACAGGAGCGCTAAATGCATACCTTCTTGATTATGTAAGTAAATGTAGGTAAAAGTGGCACTTCAAAGTTATAACTTTGTCCAAAATGGGACAGAGAAACAGTTTTGTGGGATTTCCCTCCTCCCACCCCCAGCCATGCTGCTTAATGAGTATATATCTGTGTATTTTCCATCATTGTATTAAATGACTTTGAATGGGACTTTGAAGAGAATACTCTTACTTGTCTAATTTTAAGACTGTAAGTAAAAATAATATTGGAAAAAATGTGTGTTTTCTTAAAATACACAGTGCATTAGCAGCAAAGGAGATCAAAGACTGCAATCCCCATTTCACCTACTCCTCTTCCTTTTGCTGTTCTTTTTCCTTTTATATCGAGGAACTAAACTGCAAAAGGAAGGTGGGGGAGAAGGTTTTAAACCATATCTTGATGCATAATTCCAAAAATCTCTACTTTGGGGTAGCTCTGATTCTTATCTGATACTACTCAGACTACAGCTTACCTGCAAGAAAAAAAATACCCACATTTTTTTCTGAGGTGCCAGCTGCTGGCATTCCTCCTAGTGGTACTTCAAAGCCAGTATCCTCTAAGCCTAAACTCAGGTCCTTCAGCACCACCTGAGAAGGAACTGGGCTACTTTGAAGTGTAACTTCACACTAGCTTCACCCTTTTCTAGTAATGCTTTCAGTTCTTTTCTTTCCTCTCCTCTTTATAGGAAAAGTTATTGAAGGAGAAACTAGGCAGAAGAACAACTGGAAGAGTAAGAGACAGAAGTAGGATCTCTGTGTCAGTTTTGCTGGATTTTCTGATAACTTCTGGTCACTTCCATTAAATGTGTCACACAAATTATACAAAGGCAGATTATTCTGCATTTATGTCTTTTAACAAAAAGGAGAAATTGCCATTGAAAACCTTCACTTTGAGAAGGTGTAAGATGATGAGCCTTTAGAGATGTAAAATCAGGCAACAAACTTGGAAATAATAAAATGGGAGTTTTGTCAATCATACTTACTCTATAGGATTTAAAAATACACAGAAAAGGTTTATTTAACATTTAAGCGTTCCATTCTTTTACTTCTCCATTCAAAAATGTATCCCACAGTATATGCCTTTCTTCATAGTTTCTAAAACTGTCAAAAAATGAAAATCAAACGGTGCGAGTCCCACTTGTATGAAGCCAGGTTGCAGTGACCGCTGGTTTTCAAGTGACTGTTCTCAGAATGTTGGGCTCGCTGCAGTGAGGGTCGTTGAGGAGGACTGATGGTCCTCTCATGCCATGACATTGCCTGGTTATGGATGTTTATGTGGAATATCTGCCAGTTATATGGAGACCTACATGTGTTCTTTCTGGTGGCTGAAGTCCCTGAACACTCAGGGGTACTGAAAACCAGACTGTTAATTTTTTTCAGACAGTTTGTTTTGTTTGGTATCAGAACAGTTTTAGAAATAATATTGTTCTCCTGTTGTGTTACCTCATCTGAATAATTCCAAGTTCCTTAAATAAGATAACCCTGCAGTCAGGGTTCTAGCTAATGATTTCTAACCTCTCCTCCAACACCTCATACTTTTCTGTTCTCTTCCAGGAAAGGTTTTTCCAAATTCCTGCATCTGAAATCTTAACTAATGATTTTCTTCAGCAAAAGATGGAGATGACCATGAATACACTCTGTCCTCCAGGAAGAAAATTAGGTCAGTTTGCCGTTATTTTAATACGGAGATGAGGAAAGGGACTTCCAATCTGCTCTTGCATATGCAGAGTCCTAGAATTCAACTTATGCATGGGCAAAACTCAGAAATGCAGGAACCCTCTGTAAGGAGAGTTCCAATTAGTTTGTTTTGATAAATTTCTTTAATATTAGAACTCCCTTTTGAGAAAGAAAAGTAATGGTTCAGGATATTCTCATGTAGCATGCAGTGATGTGTGAATACAGTCGTATCTATGCAGGCACTAACATGTCATTTGTATTCATATGGAAGTTAACCGGAACATCCTTGTACTGAATGTCACAGCATATTAGGGAAAACTGAAAGGGAAATCAGTGTATGGCACATGATTTGGGTGAGATTCTACTTCTGAATGTACCTGCTGATTTAGACCATCCCTTGCTACAGGAAACATCTGTGGAAATGGAGCAAAGACTTAATCCAAATACAGTCACAGAGATTTCTGTGCAGTATTTCTGTTGTGGCAGAAAGCAGCTCTGCCAAAACTACACGTGTCCAGGGTAGCTGTATGTCTCCATCGCAGCTCCGACCTCTGGAGCGAACTCCCTCTAAGTACATGGCTATCAGCAACCACTACAGCCGCGCTGGAGTCTTTACCGTACTTTTAAAAAGTGTCCCTGTTGTAAAGGGTGTAAAGGATGTTCTCTTTGAGACCAATGAAATTGTCTCATGGGAACACATGGAGATGAGGTTTCGTAATTGGGAAGTGTGTGTATATATGTATGTGCTGTCCTGTGGTACAACTACTGGTACCAAGTGTTTCAGGGGGTGCTGGGGTGGGGGGACAAGACTGGGAAGATTGTCGTTGAACACCATTTCAGATGGTGTGGGAAACTATAAGGTGCAAATTGGAATTTCAAAATCAGTAATTTTTCTTCCTATCAAATGTTGTATACATTTATATATCCTCGTTAAGATCCTTCTCTCCTATAAAAATTTAGAAATGAGTATTAAACAGTAATTTGGGTTTTCTTTGTAGATGACTTGCCGTGGTTGGAATGCTTCATCAAGTCCTATAATGTCAGAGATGCAATGAAACAACAAGTTCATTACCAAATTTTTGACACTACAGTTGCTGAAGATGTCGTGTAGTGATGTATTGCTACTAGGAAGTAATCCAGTAAGAATCCAAACGGGGGGATGGGAGTTGGGATCAGAGACAGTATAAAAAAAAAAAATGTGTTCCTTTTTTAGGAATGCAACCTGTATGTATGAAATTTTAGTTTGTATATTAATGGGAATGGGAATTATCCTTTGAAGTATTTAGTGCTTTCCTGGCATTACAGCCTTACGGTCTGAGTGCAGGTACTAAGTTTTTCGCTGGAGGCTGCTTGCGCAGGCTGATAGAAGCAATCTAGTGTCCGTCTGTCCTTCAAAAAGGCAGTGATGAGGTTACTCCAAACTGGTGAGTTTTACTTAGGAAAAAATACTCAGAATGATGCCTCTTTGTTCATTTCTTTATTAAAATAAACGATGTCAGCAGAGATAGGGAAAAGGATCGCTAAAGTAAAGTTTCTCTCAGACTAATTTGTGCAAGCTTGTTACTGTTCTCAGGAAGCATGTTTGACAGGGAAGTTCTCCGTTCCCAGAGATAGCTTTGATTTTGCACTGATACCTACGTTTAGGCAGAGCTCTTCCCATTAATCATACTAAGGTAACTGCTGTGGGTACCAGTTACTGTAGATTTTGATGGAGTTGTGAACGTGACCCTGTAATGATTGTCACTAAAGTTAAAGTCAAGCCGTGAAAGTAAGGTAGTGTAAAATTGTAAAATTAATATTGGTATTCACTAGATCATAATGATTTTTAAGGTAGCCCTGTTGGGTCCCAAAGTTGCTGGCATGCTTATTAGCTGGGTCTGTGTTTTCAAAAGCGCTCACGCATCTGGCTAAATTTACTGTCAGATTACACTGCCCAGATCTGTCTCTTCTGTTTTACGTAATCAGATTGTACGACTAAATTTAGAGATGCAGAACTGATCTAGTGACATCATGGCTTGAAAATACTGCTGGACTAGAAAAATTACGTGGTGGTTTTACTTTGCATTCAGAAGTCCGTGGGAGAAATTTAGGACATGTTTTGCCAAGGATAATTAATGTAGAAATCCTTATCAAATCGAATGCTTGCCATCAGAGCAAAATTGCTTAATATTTACAACAGCTGTTTTCTAAGGAAGTTCAGGAACAAGATGGAATGCTTCTAAGTACTTTATTAATTTTATAGTAGAAGACATTTGATTTTTGTATTTTTCAGGGCTGTTCAGTAGATTATGCCATTGGTCACTTAAAATTTCATTTAAATGTCTTGTGATAATGTTCTGGTCATACCCAAATGATTTCAGAAGTTAGGTGTTAAACTGAAGGCAATATTTTTGCTTGTCTTGTATACAGTGTATGAAAACGTTGGAAATGTTTCTATTTTTAGATTTTTTTCTTAACAACTGATAGATACTGTACATTTTTTCTAAATAAGTCTTTGTATAAAGTAATAAATAAGAATATGTTCTGAACTTTGGTGTAAACTAAATTGATTTCACCACATCCCTTATCAGACATCCCTGCCAGAAAGCTCTGCATATGAATCACTTGACTTTTTTTTTTACCTGTTGAATACTGTATTAAAATGTTTAATAAATATTTTTCCAAATACTGAGTTTTTCATGTACTTTTAGTTCATAAGACAGTGTAAGCTTTGCTGTCAGTAGCCTTCATCCAACAAAATGTTCCATGTGAATATTTGTATGATTTGTTGGGTTGCAATGTACACGTTTAATTCTCTTTCTAAATAGAATTCCTAGAAATAGTTTTAGTATTGTGAAACGTAATTTTTAATTACTAATTAAATATCACTGTATAGAAAGGAATAAGTGCACAGACATATCTGTGTCTCATTGGTTGCCTTTATATGGAGCAATAGAAGTCACTGAGATGGAACTCAGAGCTTTAGTTACCTGCCCTGGTCAGTGCTACAGCCTGTGAACAGCTGCCTGAAGGGTGGAAATCTTGAGATTGAGTCCTGAATTTACAGCACCAGCAGACTCCAGTTTCTGGAAGCTGAGCCTCTCGCACAGGGTAATGGCTTTTAGCCATTACCAGCACCTTCTTAATAGAAACAAAACTCACCTTTCCCTTAGTTGCTTTCTTAACCAGGTATGTGATTTAGGTTTATAAAACCTTAATAAAAGGTCAAGTGTCTATTTTAATACTTTAAAAAAATGACTGAAGTAGATTATATTGTATTTAAAGAGACTAAGAATTTGAAGTTGGAGAAGAGAAGGCTCCGGGGAGACCTCATTGCAGCCTTCCAGTACCTGAAGGGGCTATAAGGAAGCTGGGGGGGGACTTTTTACAAGGGCCTGTAGTGACAGGACAAGGGGGAATGGGTTTAAATTGAAAGTGGGGAGGGTTAGATTTGGTATCAGGGGAAAGTTCTTCA